CTGCAGGAGTCGCTGGCATTCAAGGTCCGGTGTCTCGGAGCTGCGGGAGGCCAGCTAAGGAGCGCCAAGTTTGCATGGCAGACGGCCCCCATCCTCCCCCGCATGCTTTTGCAACAAGCGAAATGAATTGCAATCCTTGGGCGGGATACTGGACCTGAGTGTCCTGGTATTGGCGCTTGCGAGCTTCGTATTCCAGGGCAGCGTGGCTGCCAGACAAGACTGTGTGCGGGAGGACTGCCTGCAGCATCCCAGATGTCACGGCCAGGTCAAAAGCAGCAAGCCCGTGGACGCCCCAGTTCCCAATCCAAACGTCCGCAGGGCGCCTGCCAGATTGCGAGTCTCCTCCTCAAAGTCTTCGGTATCAGGGCGAGGAGGTAGCAAACCTGGTTTTTCCATTTCGGGGTTTAATCCTGCTGAATGGGCTTTGGATGCGAGGACGGACCGGAGGCGGTGGTGCCGTTTGGTCCGGTCTCCGCCACAAGGACAAACGCGTGTGCGGTCGCCAAATTGATCCATAGTATCATCGCACATGGGATAATGACGTGACTGGAAGGTGAAGACGCTGACGTGCAAGCCCAGAGCGTCAGAAGGCGGAGCGTCAAGCCATACACCAATACCTAGTTGTTGAAGGAATTGCCGGTAAGCCCTGTACACCTCCTGGCCAGGGGCAGGAGCAGTAAGCCGAGCCACCGTAACCTTGTCGAGCGCCCGGGACAGCTGCTACTGTCGGATGGGGTGTGGCGCGGGAACAAGGAATTGGTCTTCAACGGGGAGGCATTGATTGATTTTGCCAAGGGCATCATCTCCGACCTATAATATGCGAATAGTCTTATTTATTATTATATGTTTTTAAAAAAATAATTTAATATAATTAAAATAATGCTTTTCAAGGCCCTACATACATCACCATCATTATTATTGTTATTATTAATTTAATTTATTTTCTTTATTTAATTTATTTTGCCAATATTTTTATAATAATATATGGTGTATCAATATATGTTTCATAAATAAATAATAATATATATTAATTAAAACCTGTATATAGAACAATTTTGATATACAAATATTTTTATATAAAAAGATAGACACAGAAATATTTTTATATACAAATATCTTTATATACAGAATCTTTTTTCAAAAAGAAAAAATATACAGAGAAATTTTTATTATATATTATATAATTTTTTATATTTTTTGTAAATCCCAGGAAAATTAAGTTCTATTATAGGAATTTATAGACCAATAATTTATGATAGAATATGATAATTTTTAAAGGTAAATTTTATTTGGTTTTCTAAAATAATAATTTTTTAAGTAAACATCAATTCCCCATGAGGGATTATTCTGTAGATTTTTGGGGGGTCCAATCAGGATATGTTATTTAAATTAAATGGAAAATATTTTGAAAAAAATTATATAATATGATATATATAAATGGTACCTCCCAAAAAAATCGACATTTTTGAAATCGCAATGCTTTTGGGACAAATTACCTTGATCAATTTGAGTTCCAGTGGGGGGTACCATATATATATATTAATTGTTATTTTATTGTTGAATCCAGGTACTTAGAGCAATTTTCTCACCAAAAGTGTTTGCAAACATTTGCAAATGAGTCCAGGGGCCCAAGTACTTAGATTGGCTCAGGATTCAAGATTCAAGATTCAAGATCCAAGATTCAAGATTCAAGATTCAAGATCCAAAATTCAAGATTCAAGATCCAAAAAAAAATTCTTGAATCCCGGGGCTAGGATCAGGAGAGTTTCTGGATTCAATAATAAAGATTTAAAATATATTAATAAATCATTATTTGCAGATTTTGATTTTCTTGTCCATATATCAAAAATATTTATATATATAATTTAATTTTTACGGATATATTTTAATAATTAAATTATTAAAATTATTTGCAAAATTATATTGTTTTATATTTTATTAGGTAAATATAAATTCAATTTCATATTATAATAATTAATTAAAATTATATATATATAATTTTGTATTATTTATATTAATTATATTTTGTAAAGAAATATTTAAATGTTTGAATAATATATTTATTATTATTCCATAAACATTATATAATATTTTGATTTTGTGTATTATTTTTTGATAATATATAATATTTTAAATTTTATATATTTTATATATATAAAATAATAATTTCTATTTATTTGATTTGATAATCTAATAATAATACCTATAGAATATGTTTTTTATATAATATATTTTTGTATTTTTCTAATTTTACCAATTTTATAAATCCTGCCAAATGATCTATTTTTATATATCATTCATTATTTGTTATATTTTGGCTAATTTGATTAAATAATTTAAAAATAAGATTATATGTGATTAATAAGAATAAGTTCTTCATTTAATATTGTTTTTAATTAATATGTTTTCTATGTATATTTTTTTAAAGAGCGGTTTAATATATTTTTATTATATATGGGTTTAGATAATTATTATTTTCATGAAAAAATAATAATTAAAAATTAATTCTTGATTATATTAATAATTATTTATAATAATATAAATTATCCTTATATTTTAAATATTTTTTAATTTTATTAAAATTTGATATTTTATTATTTGTTTATATATATTTTTTTAAAAAATAAATAAAAATTAAGAAATATTATTTAATTGATTTTATAATAACAAATTATCGATTCAAATTAAACAATTTTTGTAAAATATATATTTTTGTTTTGTTTTATAACAAATTGAAATAATTATTAATATATAAATATTTTAATTATATTATTATATAAAAATATTTATTTATAATATTTTTGTAATATTCAAAATAATTTAATAATTATATTTAATAATTATTTATAATAAAAATTGATAATTTTAATTTTTTATTTTTTTTATAAAGTATAAAAATTATATATATTTTAAAATATCAAAATAATTTAATATAAAAAATAATATAAAAAATAAAATATATTAAAATAATATAATTTAAATAATTTAATATAATTTAAATTATTATTTCTTGTTTTTATTTATTTCTAATTATAATTTTTCCCGAATGTATAGTAAGGGTTCCCATTTCACTCTGGAGGTCTGGGGGTTGAGGGTGTGTTCGCTCGACGTTGCTTCCGCGTCCGCAACCGTCCGCAACCGTTCACAACCGTTCGTGTGAGGACCGTATGGCCGTGCCTATGGGAAGTTCTGCAGAGGCGGTCATTTTTGCTTTGTTTCGTATGGGAGGCGTGGTATTTTTAGACATTCAGACGTGTTTTACAACGTGTTGAAAATCGTTTTGCGTGGTAAGCGCAATACTTTTGCGACGTTTTCAAACGATGCGTGGCAGTTTTCGTGGCAGGGGCAGCACATTGGACGCGTCCATCGTCATTTTTCGTGGCAGGCGCAACACTTTAAATGTGTCGTGTTGAGTGTTTTTCGCAAATCGCATTGGCAGG